TTTACAGTCTTTTGAAAATCTCATGTTTGACCTTTTACAACCATGTTGCCACATCTTCTCTGCCTGTGTGCATTACCATCTTTTACTTCAGGCCTGTTCAAGGTGAGAGTATAGTCTTTGTTGTTTTGCAGCGCTCAATTTATGACGTGAAACATCAAATACATCTTAAATTAAGGACACCAAGGACTGATTCTGATGGCACTTCTCACATTTCACAGCATGTCTTTTGAAAGAAGTCAAACGCACATAAACCCCATACCATGACACTCCCACCTTCATGCTTCACTGTTTATTTTCCCATTTACTGTGATTTGTCTCCAGGATCACCAAACAAAAAGAAAGGCTGCTCAAAGGGTGTTTTGATTATTTGGCAAAGGTTTAAAATTATTTAAAAGATACAGAGTAGATTATTTTTACATTCTTTTGTCATGGGTGCTTTTTGATCAATATTGTCTGCAGATCATTTTGATCTGAAAAGAAACCACAAATAAGTCCATATTCTCCAAAACAACCCTCAGGTAGCTTCATATTAAAACATCGACTCCACATTTGGGCTTGGTGTTGGCTTTTACAAATGAAAGGCTGTAGTGTTTGCTGCTGCTGAGACCGTGTCTCGAGTTATTCTGCTAACAAGGCTGCCTTTATGTGAGAGCAGGAAGGAGCTGAGAGCCGAGTGGACCCACTCTAAGAGTCCCAGCACCAAGTTCTGCAGAGAACAGGTAACTTCCGGTGCATGTTTTCAAAATAATATTTAAAAGCTTTCAAGAATAACTTTTTTTTTTGTTCAATCTAAAAAATAATATTACAAACTTAAATAAATGTTTTATTGTATTTATTGTAATTATACATGTGAACTGAAAAAATATATAATAATAATAATAATAATAAGCATAATCCTATAAGGTCATTTAGGATATGTATGCTTATTATTTTTGCTATGCCCCCAACACAGGGAAAACAGAAATATGCTGAAGACAAATATTACCATACATTTATTTTTGTTGACTTATTTTTTAATTCACTGACTTTGAGTGTAATGGTGACAACAGTAGACAATCTTAAAAGAAGACATATAAATTGAAAAAAAAAATGGAAGGAAATTAAAAAAAAAACAAAAAAAACCCAGCTACATTGTAAAGCGGTGTAAAATACAAACAACAGGATGTCTGTGTTGGTTTTTCCCATGAACTTAGCAGATGTGTGAAGCCTCTTAGAGAGGTCAAGGTCAAGAGCTTTGATTTTTTTTTTTGCAAGATATTCCAGGAAACAGGAGCGGAGTAGGAGAAGGTCCTGTTGCCTAGTTTGCCTAGTAAATAAAATATCAATCCATTATCTTTTACCCGCTTCTTCCTTTGTGGGTAGCAGGGGTCACTGGTGCCCATGTCCAGCTATCACTGTGCAAAAGGTGGGGGACACCCTGCAGGTCTCCAGTCCATCACAGGGACACATAGAGACGAGACAAACAACCTTTGCCACTCTCACTCACACCTAGGGATAATTTAGAGTTACCAATCAACCTGACATGCATGTTTTTTGGTCTGTGGGAGGAAACCGGAGAAAACCAACGCATGCATGGAGAGAACATGCAACAAGAAGGAGCCCTGGACCAGGATTTGAACCAGGGTAGCCTGCTCGTTGCAAGTTAGCAGCTCTACCAGTTGTGCCACAGTGCTGCCCATAAATTAAATAAAAATAACAATAAATTGATGTGTGCAAATGTGTGCATGAAAAAAAAAAAAAGTGCATAGTAGCGATTAACATTGCTGTTTATGTTTACATGAAAAGCTTCACCTCTTTATGTATTAATGCAAAGCCTGTTGATGGTTAGTCTGGTTTAGCTAAAAACACACAACTTTGCTCCTCTGTTGAAAATCACTATGACACGAAGTTCCCCACTGTATAAGTCCGTATAAACTTTAAAACGACCAAACGTTGCCTATTTCCACAGAGCAGCTGCTAAATGGTTTTCAGGGCAACACGGTGTTTTATTTTGAAGGCGGCGGCTCTCCTGTTCCGGTGCAGTTCCGCCCTCGCGCTCTGTCGGCGGAACAAACGCTCAGCGCCGCTCGCTCCTGTAGTTGAACACAGAGCTGCGGGACGAGGCTGTGGCGCCGGGACCGAGCAGAACCTGCTCGGAGGATGGACGGAACCGACAGCAGCTGAAACCAAAGGTGAGTCAGATGGTAAAAGCACCTGAACGCCTCTCAAACACAGACTGTCAGCAGCTGGGGGAGTCAAATAACGCATCTCCTCTCAAAGAATGGCTCTTTTATTATATTTATAGTTGCAGGATAATTTTTTTATTTTAAATACTTGTGAAAAGTTCATACTACTCAAATAAAGTCACTTTATCTTAATAGTTAAGATTTCACCATCATGTGGCATTAAATCAGTGGTTTTCTCTTTTATTCAATACAAATTAAATTGCTCTTATATGAATTAAAATGGCACTCGTGCGTTTATTTTAAATGACCTAACTCAAACTGCATTAATGAATAAAATAAGCAATAGTCTCCTCCAAGCTGAACCATTATAATCACACAAATGATGAGCACTTAGGGTAAGTGAATGCCTCTTTTGAGCATGCTTCTTTGCAATTTCCCCTCAAAGGATGTCCACACGCACAATGGAAGACGCACTAATCCTGCTTAGTGCTCTCACTAACAAGCACCTAGCACCCTGAAATGTTTGGTTTGCTCGCTGTCAGAGTTGTTTTTCTCCCACCGGAGGAGCGGAACTGAAGATTAGGAGATTCCAGGTTAAGTCAGCAGAGAACAAAAGGAGTGAATATAAGGAAATTACTGTGTGTGTTTGTCAAACTGATGATGTAATTCTCAGGGACATGCATGTGCTTCCTGGGCCTGAAGATTAAATTACCCCCATTTGACATCATCTGCATGCAAGTGTCCCAAATATGTGTTAAGCGTGAGTCTGGGACCGTGTGCGTTCTCACTTTGTCTTGCAGATCGTATGTGTTCTCATGTTTCACAGATAAGATCACGCGGGACACCTAATCAGGGCTGTTTTAGAAAACACTCAGCCTCCTGACAAACTGGTGATTTAGGATTGGTCCTTTTGATGAAGCCGGTTTATTCAGATTAATTGGAGATCGGCCTGCAGGACTGACTGACAAGTTTCACTCAAAGTAAGAGTGGAGCGGGCTCTGCAGGAAAGTTGAAGAAAATGGATTTTCTCACACAGGCTAGAGATAAGAAGTGCTGCAGCCCAGTTACCGTACAAGGAGTGAAGTAAAGAGCGTCCGGATATTTCAGGAGACTGATGTTCAACAATCAAGACGGTTAAACGCTTACATGATCTGGTTTTGTTGACACATCTAATTTGTTGATCTTGTGGTTGGCTCTTTCACCAGCTACTCATGACTTTTTTCTTCTTCTTCTTCTTCAGTTTGTGAAACAATGTCAACAAACGTAATGTAACATGGGAGCGTCTCGCTGTCCAAGCCATGATTTATCGCACCGAGCCACAATAATGCAGAAATAAAATGCGGCCTGTCATTGTGTTTCCACGACGGTGCCCCCTTCATTCTTCACCATCTATTTGTAGCACATTGTAGAAGTACGTGTCAGCTGTAATTTGAAGATGTTTTTTTAAAATCTCGTCAGTCTCAGGAATCAATTTTTCTGTTCATGTTTGTTATGCTCGGTCTGAAGCAACTCATTTATTTGCAAATTACTTTTTTGTTTCTCAAAGTAAACAGAGAATTCATTTTTATGGCACAAGTCTAGGGATGCATGATATTGGAAATTTTGGCCGATATCCAATATTACAATATGTTAAAACTTATTTGGCCGATAACCGATACCAATACCGATAATTTTTTTCCTTAGATCTTCTTACAGAGACCACATAGCTTTCTCTGCTGTGGAATTAAACTACTACATTACTCTGCGTGGTCTTTGTCAATTTGGCTGCTACCAAATGCAGATGCTGAAAATGATGCAACACTTCAACTTGGATTATAATGTCAACTTTATTCATGACATTTACTCTCTAACACAATGACAACACTCGAACAGTCATGCAAAAACAGTGCCTCGTCTATCTATCTATCTATCTATCTATCTATCTATCTATCTATCTA